AGCAGCAGAAGTAGTAGTAGTAGTGGTGGTAGTAGTAGTAGTAGTGGTAGTAGTAGTTGTGGTAGTGGTAGTAGCACTAGCAGTAGCAGCAGGAGTGGGAGGAGTAGTAGCACGAGCTGTTGCCGGAGCTTCTGTTGTGGTGGCTATTGCTGTTGCTGTTTCTGTTGTTCTTACACACAAGGAGCTTAAGACCCTGAAACAAACCAGTTTGCTGGAAAACACCTGCCTACCCACTATAACTTTTATAACTCGCGGCGCTAAGCGCGAAAACCCAAAACAAGACCACTCCCTCACCCCTGCATTGACACCCGGACAGTTTTATTGAACCCGAAACCGTTCCCTCAACCCAACCGCGCTTGCTCTCGTAGAGGCAAAGTCTCAGCTGGAGCCGCCTCCTCCACCTCCTCCTCCTCTTCCTCGACTTCGGCGCGCTCCGCCTCTGCAGGCCTCTTTATGGAAATGTACAGCCTTTTTGGTTCGACATTCACAGCTTGGCATCCCGGGTGCAAGTGAGAGAGGTGCTCCGAATGTCTCTGGCCATACACGAAAACATGACTGCATGCATCGCTGTGTCTCCGTGATGTGTTTCGCTCAGGGCCACAATGCCAGACGCTAAGCGGGCTGTCGACATGTGACGCCTGGGCTTGTGGAGTTGCAGCGACTTCAAGATTCAAGTCTTCCACCGACGTGTTTGATCTGCGAGATTCGCAGAAGTCCTCATGTCGTCTCAACTGTCGGGCCTCTTCTTCACCCTGCCGCGTGTTTCGACGGGCACTGCTTTAGCTGCTTTGGGCGGCGCTCTCTTTGGCTGCTCGGCGGGTCTTTTCTTGATCCTTGGCTACACTCGATTTCGTCTTATGAGCCCTTATACCCTCAACCTTACCCAGCCCTAGCTCTTGTCCAGTCCTTGCCTTAACCTTTGAAACTAAAATGTGACCCACTATATAAGTCACATCCTAACCCACCACTGCTGCAATTTCAAAGTCTTAGTTTCCTAATCATGGCGTAGTTCAATGTTTACCCCTACACAGACTCTGCACCCTTGAATAAATGTCGCCATCGTATTTACAACTCTCCAGAATGGACGATGCAGCATGGGGTCTGCAAGCTCCTGTAACGAGCAACATCTCGGCTCGACAACACCGACCTATCGCTTAGGAGGTCTTCAACATGCCTCTAACCTCAAAAGACTTCGAAATCCCATGTCGTTGGTAAGCTTTGGATATTTCTCAACGTTCGAGACCTGCTCCATGTCGTCAGATCTTGCAGGCACTCTGAATGTCATGGTAGCCAAGCCCAACCCGGAGGCTGCAAACAAAAACCACTTTTGACCCCCGAAATCCGTTAATCTGAAAATGCCCGATATAGAGGCTCAACCAAGAAGACTTCAGGGACACCATGGTCTCCACAAACAAAAGGCAAGACTAGACCCTAAATCTGAACCGCCCACCAAACAAGGTCCAGCCACTTGGAAGAGTCCGACCGGCCCCGAGCCATGGCGGAGGCTAAGACGGAACTTGGAACAATGAATACTACCAACGGTGGTTCAACAATCATCAAACTGCTCGTAAAGGGCCAGTGAGGGAGCTTGAAACAAAACGCCAATGTTCGTAAACACCGTGGTTTCTTGTTCTGATACGGTTTACTCTTCTCGTTTTACAGGGGGGTCGACGTTGAATTGTTTGTTTGCTGTTATTGTTTTACAAGACAAATCACCTTCTCAATTGCGACTCTCGCACTCGTGCAAGGCAGGCAAGGATTCACCACGACTGGTCTCAATTCAAGGACGGGCTTGTTTTCAAACCCGGTCTTAGGGACTTGCTCAGTACTTGGGCGAAAACTTCATCGAACAGTCACTAGAGAGGCAAGGCAGGCAGAATCCCTGAGCTGTGGCCTTGAGCCATGATACTGGTAGTTCTGATGCCGCTAGCTCAAGGAGTTTGGCTTTCTAGCTGGCTAGGTAAGCCGGTAGGTGGGTGACTAGCTAGCTAGCTAGCCAGCTAGCTAGCTAGGTCGGTAGGCAGGTACACCGGAAGAAGGACAGGTAGATAGACAGACAGCAGACAGATAGATAGACAGGTAGGTAGACAGATACCTTGCATCTGGGCATGGGACCATGGAGAAATGCTCAATCCAATGACAATGTATGTCGTATGTAGGCAAGTACATATGTAAGCGGATGCAGATCCGGGGCCAGAAAGAGTAAGACAGCGAAAAACAAAAACACTCATCTAGACTATTCTCCGTCTCGACGCATCTTGTCACGTGCACGTGTTCTTTGCTACTGTGCACTGATAGTGGACCCCTCTATCTTGCAGAGTTCTGCCGCAACAATACAATTGAGCCCACGAACCTTGAAAACCAAGGCCCGCAATCTCAACCTCCGAGCTCCGGCCATCCCGAATCCCAAAGACATCTGTGGATTTAGAGTTTCCGTCTCTCGCACAGGCACAAGGCAGGCAAGGCTTCCCGACAAGCCCCAGGTAACACCGAGCTCAAAGCAAGCACAAGTGCTTGGGAGGATCCCAAAGCAAACAAGCGAAGACCCCGTTCACGCCACTGGCAGGGTTCACAGTCTAGTTTCTGTTGTCTTGGTGTTGTTTTGGCTTGTGCTTGCCGCGTTGCCACGTGGCACTCTGGGCTCCCGGCCACTGGTGAATCCGCATGATCTCAGTGGCAGCAGGGCATATGGAGACTAATACTAGGAAACATGGTGATTGCAAGAAAAATCCAATCAGACCCGGGCCAAATAGCTTCCATCGCCCAGGCAGCCCTGGTAAGCGTGTGATCTCACCTGAGTATGTCAATGAAGATGAATCAACCATCCATGTCTGTCATTCTAAAGGACGGGCACGGGCGCCCCCTCTTGCTCCATGCAGCGGCTCATGATTTTCAGCTTCGTGCTCAGCTCTCTGGAACTGCGCCTGCTGCGCTTTCTCCTCAGCCTTGCTACTTTACTAGGTTAGCGTACTTCAAACGACACGGCTGTCTCTGCACTTGTCGCCTGCGGCAGCATTGCTTCGGCAAGCCAACAATGACAAGCTGTACACAGAACAGCAATGCAATCACCATCGTCTTTCTGCAGAAGCTGAACCACCGCACTGACGTGGCCCGTTCTCCCACGATGCGCACTGCTCTAGCGACGGGAGAGATCCTAGGCATCGTCGACGCATCGGCGAGAAAACTTCGCATCTTTCAGATGTGGAAGAACAACAGACTTCCCAGCATCGATGAAAGGCGTCTGTACATTGCACATGGAATCGGAGAGCATCTGTACATGCTCTGAATTTGAATAATTTTGAGTCGCAGGGGTCTTTAAACCGGCCGCACGACAAGTCTCTAGACAAGAGTGCCTGTCTTCCGTGGCCACACAAGCTTGAATCGACCCCTTTTCACAAGCTTGACTACCTGGCAAGTTCGAGGTTTCTGAATTCCACTCCGTCAGCAAACTGCTGTCATGCCGGGGTCCTTGCAGGACTTCCCTCTATCGGCTCAGAGTTCCAATGCTTGCGAACATATTCCAAAGTGATGACCGTTCCTTATCAACTCAAAGCCACGATGGACGCATGCTGCGCTACCGCGCTTGCTGGGCACAGATCGGAAACACTCCATAAGGAACAAGTGTGCAGACTGTGCATTCTTTGAAATATTTCCTCGCCGCTAGCTGCTAGTCACTCAGACCGGATGAAGATGTGACTACTGCATGCCTGAAGCTATCCAAGCCACCACAATACTCCAAAGTGCGAGTTGCACGATCCGGACTAAGCAAGGTCCAGGTGTCCTGCTGCAATGTCTGCAGGGTGACTTCCAGCTGCTGTTCGCGTGAACCACAGAATACAAAAGCCAGATCAAACATGAGGTCTGATAGATCTTGAGGCGAGGCACGCAGTGTGCGACCCGAGTTCTTCCAGCTGCTTGATGCAGGTTCGGTTTTAGTTCGCCAGCCCCAAACGAGCACGTTCAGAATTTTACGTTGCGGTCCTGCAAGCAGTGTGCGCCGACATGTGCCGGCCTGTCGCCAAGAACACATGCACAAGCATAAGAGTGTGTTGAAGTCTCTTTCGGCCAGCAACACACCAGGCAGCGACTTGTGCAGTACAGATCTTGTTTGACTGGAAATGGCTCCCGTCGGCTGGGAATTATACTAGCCAGATTGCTTTTGGGTGAACTTCGCGGGGTCCGCACCTTGCCCAAAGCACCGCCACCTGGCCAGGTTCGCGAGTGAGGCAGCGCGCGCGTGCTGTCCCACCCGCCGGAGAAGGAACCTTGGCTCTGCACAGAAAGCAACGTCTTCTTGCGGGAATGTGCGCCGCTGCAGAGTATGACAAGCGCTTGAGATTAAAGATTCAGCTGCACCCACATGTCAGGCTTCGTTGTTATGCTCACGGGACTGTACACTCAAGTAAGAAAGCACTGACAACACTGAAAGGCCTTAGTCAAGAAAACTGAACCTCGCAACCCGTCCAGGTGGTCTGGTTCCTTAGACAATCAATGCAGCCCTGCATGAAGGCCAATGCGGGCTATTGCAGATTGCAGAGGTCGAGTCTACATGCTAACTGCGTCCGAAATGCCACGCTGCCTACTTTGCAGGCAGATGTGAAAGCAAGCAGACGGATGCCAAAGCTCTGTGCACAAACGCAGCCTACTTGAGACAGCCTTCTGTTTCAACATGTTCTCGGACACCAGAGCTCCGGGGAAGGGTTTGGTGCTGTGCAGCCGCACGTCTGTGGACAAAACATTGATGCTGGCCGGCGCTGGTTGTGCATGCAAGCGGTGCTCACAATCCAGTCCATGGAGCCAACAAAGGAGCAGTTGCCCTCTGCACCCTGATCGGCGAACTGCATCATGAGGTTCGCCGTCCCCCACTCCACAAGGTTGTAGTCATAGAAGCCGTTCCACCACCTGTTCCAGGATTCACGCCGAGGATCGTTGCTTTGCAGGTCTTCACATTCCGTGCTGTTGAGCCCAGTCTGGAACAGGTCTTCCTGCTGACACTGTTGCCGGCAACCGTTATCTGCGTAAAGTCCAGAGGCAGGGGAAATGCAACCGCAGGTCTGTGGGCAAAGCATGCGGACCAGTGGCAGGTCTCTCCGGTCGCAGAAAGGCAGTGCTGTCTGGCAGTCTGAGGCGCGTTGATTCGTCAACGCCTTTACAGTTGGCCAGAGCCAGTCCGCCTCCCAGAAGTCCGTTCCATTTCCGCGGTCCTCGCAGCGCGTGCCGTAGCTTCGGCTTCCCATCCCGGTCTCCTCGGGAGCTTCCGTGTCCGACTTGGTCAACCACGCCTGAAGATCTTCAAAATCTAAGGTGTGCTTTATCGCAATGCTGCCTCCATTGATCGAACTCCGCCACATGCGATGTGCGACTTCGTCCTTCTGGTAGCTAAAAACCACGTCAGTGACCAATGGTCGCATTCCACTGAGCATGCTGCTGCTGCCGCTCATGCTGAAGTTCTTCGTGTCCATCACGAACATGGGACCCAAAGTGGGATGGGTGCCATAGATGAAATCCCTATTGCCACCGCACAGCATGTCTCGGGCTTGACGAGCCTCATCCGCATTGTTTTGAAGCGTAGTGGAAACGAAAAGCCACACAGTGGTCACCAGCGCAATCAGCTTCAGCACACATTGGGCATCCACGCCGTGCCACATCTTCCTCGTACCAAGATCCAGTGGTCGAATTGATTTCATATATAGCAGCCTGCGTCTAGGCGCCAAAACACGGAAAAGGACATCATCCACCTCCAAGACGAAGTCGAGGGCGACAGCATTCAAGAAAATCTCAGAAGTGTCACGAGTCTTACAAAGCCAAAGGGCGCCGGACACCCCGAGCAGAATGGCCACGAACATGCGACAGAAGAGAACCACATGAAGCACAGCCAGCCGGCAACAGCTGATGCTCTGGAAGGTCCGCTCACCCTCACGCATACGGGCGACCAATGTCTCACCCCTGGGGAGACGATGCAGTGCAACCCCGAGACGGCCCACATACTGAAGCTCTGCAGCCACATGGCATGCCCAGACAGAGATCGCGAGGCTGCTGAGGACCACACCAACCCCGAGGTTTGGGAGCACAGTGTCAAAGAGGGGCATCAAGTAGCGGTCTATCTCACCGAGCAAGTTATTGTTCCACCAGTCCTGCTCAAAAGCCTTACCTTCACAAACCTTGCTGACCAACGATGAGCCCGATGCAACATCATAGGAGGCCACGCCGTGGCCGTACATCACACGCCACTCCTTCAAGTACTGCAGGTCGTACTTCGGGTCGTTATCCAGAAAGGATGCGTAGACAACCCAACAGAATAGCAGCTGCATGCCGAAGCATAGGCAGAATCCGATGCAAATCATCAAAGATCCCAACGACCCAATTTCATCCAGGCCCATGACGAACAGAGCATCCCAGAAGGAGTCCTGACACTATGCAATGATGTGCATGAGATAGGACTCACAATGAATTACAGGACGAGCAATGTCGAGACCACTCAGAAAACGGATTGAAGTGGAAAGGAGTGCACGAGTATAAGCCTGTATCACGTGATGCCATGTAATAGATTACCAACCTTCGCAGTGCAATATCGGCAACTACCAAACATATCACTTCACAATGACATAGCAAAGCCTATGTGGTCCATGCTCGACCATGACACCATGATCTGAGCGACAGAAAAAGACATAGTCACTCAGAATGCTCAAACTGGAGGCCGTGGGTTTTACATAAAAAAAAAGACCTCTGCTCGACTCTGAAAGCCGTCTCCTGGAGGGAGTGTTGCAGCCGTGCTTGGGACACCACGCTCTTCCGGTTCTTGGAGGGCCTGATCCCAATACAGCCCAGACACGTTTAAGAAGACTTGTAGTCAGTAGTCATACTGAGACCGAGCGATGGGAGAATAATCAACTGCTGCTACTCGAAACGAGGCCCCAACAAACAACGGGCAGGTCGTGGAGCACAGCAGGAAAATCTATGGCACCATGCCAACAGAGTACTGATCCTTCACAGGCTCGATCGGTCAAGAGGCAATGCTGAATCGAGAAAACTCTAAGTCATGCCGCCTTTCGAATCATCATAGCGATTTCTCCCCCTGAAGCTGCGAGGCGGGCCTGGAAGTTTCGGCCAGCTCCGCAGCAGGCTTTGCAACTTCCTCAGCCAAATGCTAGGAGTACCCCGTCGCAGTGCATGGTGGCCAGGGGAATGATTGAAGTCGCAATACCAGAAAAGAAACAACTACAAGCACATGTAACAACAGCAGGACGAAGGAAACAAGGAAACGGATCCTACTGCAAACACTTCCAGCTGCTGCTTGCGCACTAGTCACTAGACGTTTGCTCCTAGCATCCCAGCCTAAACACCTGTAGCTACAGTGCAAGTTTTTTGTGCTTGAACTCTTCGTTGTCCTCCGGCTCTTCCTCTCTCGGCGTCTGCGGCGACGAGAAATCCAGTGCCAGCTGCTGTTCCTGAGTACGAAGTTAGCCAAAGACGGCGCTGGCGAGAAGCAACTAGGGCCTAGGCTTAGGGAAGCGCAACCCAGAGAACAAGGGAATTATCGCGAAACGTGGCAGTCCAAGCATTGGACACAGAGCTGAAACTGTTGAAAATTGGCCCGACCCCACCGGCGCCAAAATACCGTCATCGTGTCAGTGCAGGGTTCGAACTTGTTTTTGGCCTGCTAAATGGCAATCTGAATGAGGAGCCAGAAACAGGCCCGAATGTACTGGGTTCGAGATACAGACAGCAGGACTTGGGAACTCCAGCAGAGTGCCAAACTCAAAAGCGCACAATCAACATAAACCACATCTCTTGTCACTCTTGTCGAATCATTTAAACATGCAGAACAGCCCAGAAAGCCGGAGCCTCACCGAATTACAAAAAGCAGGAAAGTCGTAGTGTCACTGTGGAGTTCGATCTTGTGACGCCTTTTGGGAAACTCTAAGTAGCAATCTGAACAGAAGAACACATCCTGGATATGTCAGAAACCTTCTGCACATGAGGCGAAAGCTGACTGGCATCCCCCGATCTGAACTTGCAGCCCTTACCCTCAACTGCAGTCTTATCAAGGCTCGAGGGTGAAGAGCCGACCCTGCAGGAGCTTCCTCGGACGATGCTGAAGGCTCAATTTCCGACATCAGCTTACTTCCAAGTTTGGACTGATGGGGCGGCTTAGCGATGCCCTGACATCGCCAAGGCACAACTCCTGCTGCATGTGAGCCACATCGTCGTCAACGCTTTGGGTCGAGAAATGCAGGAGCTCCTGCTTTTGCAGCATTAGGCTGCGAATCTGCTTTGGATTTTGAGTTTGGCCCGGCATCGCGGAGCAGCACGCGCGAGCTGCTCCGCTGCATTGGGGTGCAAACGTGTGTAGACACTGTTGCAATATGTTGCAATGCATCATCGCGTGGCTCCTCTAAGCGCTGCATCCGTTGCTCCAGTTCTGCATTGGCTCTGGCGGCCATGGCTCTGCTACGCAGGAAGACGGATGAAACGAAGAGCCGTTTGTGCCAAATCCCTCCCAGCTTCAGGACAAGGAGGGCCGCTCAAAAAGATGAGGTCTTTTCACGGGGAAGCAGGGCGACCCGGGCTGCTGGCACTAAAACGGGTGCGCCAACTAGCTCAGCACGGCAAGTTTGAAGTTAGTCTCGGGTTGAGGGCATTCAAGCACTCCGACTGATGTGACCTAGCAGCTCTGACCACCGAGCCATCCAGTGGGATGACTGCGTACCTCATGAGGGAACACAGGTCAACTCGTGGCAGCTGAGGCTTCTCTGACTTCCGAGTTCCACTCTTCTCTCCCAGTCCTTTGTGCCTAAAGCACTTCAAGTCGGACCATTCGCCGAGCTGCATGGGCTGTCCCATACGAACAGGCGTGAAGGTTTGCCGCATCATGGAAATGCTGTATTCAGTGCACTCCTCGGCTGGAAACCCTGTCCGAAAGTTGTACAGCAGTCTCTCTCTCAACATCATCAAAGTACCGCAGGATGAAGCCTTTCTGCCCAGAGGCGGGCGGATCACAGCGAGTGGGAAGCGCAGGGTGCCAACAAATGTCCATGACCTCAGCTGCTACGTATACATCTCTGTGCACAAGATGTCACAGGAGCATTGTGGCACGTCTGCTGGACTGGCCACTTTTTAGGCAAAGGGCACATGGTGCCTGGACATCCGTGCGAGCCGATTTCGTGCGAGCCGATTCAAATACTTGGGCCTCCACCCTGAGGCCTGAAAACCAGCTCTCTTACGATTCTAATGCAGAGAGGCCGCTGACAAGAGTGGATCCAACGGCTCGCTCTTTGCCTTGACATGCTCAGAACAAAGGACCGTCCTACAATACCACCCTCGCATGTCTAGATAAATAGATAGATAGAATAGAGCTAGGAAAAGATAGGTGTGTAGGTAAACAGATAGACAGATGGACAGACAGACACAGACAGATAAGTAGATAGGTAGACAGAAAGATAGATAGCCAGATGAATAGATAGCTAGCTAGCAGCTAGCTAGATCCGAAAATAGGTATAGGGATAGATGAATAAATAGCTAGACAGGTAGATAATAGATTCATTAGATAGACATGGAGGTCGACAGACAGACAGACAGACAGACAGAGACAGGCAGGCAGGCAGGCAGGCAGGCAGGCAGGTAGGCAGGCACGTACGCACGCAGGCCGTCAGGCAGGCAGGCAGGCAGATAGAAATGCGTAGAAGTACACATGGCAAGCCCCTGCATTCAGATGTCTTTGATTGGTAGACACCTGCCCGCGCCTTGTTCAGAATCCAATCGCCCTCCAGGGTTTTCAGATTCCTTGCATGGGACTCTTGTCGGAGGCTCGTAGGTTCAACAACGCAGCGCTGCTTGCACTCCAAGCGTGGAGTTGAATGCCAAGAGGCACTTATTCCTGGCATTGTGTGCACAGGCAGCAAAAACGTCCAACACACGAAGAGGCAATAATCCTCCATCCAACTGTGTGCAGGGGCCACCATTCCCAACACGTGGGACACTCTACACGGAAATGTTGGTGGCAAAAAGCTGCAGGTAAGTTCTTTAAGTTTTCAATTTAGCCATTGTGAAAGCTGTTCCTGAAGCAAGACAACCGGGCTTCCGGCCAGCCAGAGGGGGTGCCACTTCAGATTCTAAACGCCTGTGTCACATTCGGATGGAGTGCCCTCGAGTGCTTCAAAGGCAGGGGCTTCAATAGGAATCCAGTGCCCAACTACTTCAGCCAGTGCTTGTGAACCTGTGCGGAAGAGATATCGGAAGCCCTGAAGCCCTCGCATGCCAAAGCATAGCTCAGGTATGATGCCGTGGCGCTTCGTAGGTCTTGTGGCAAGGTCAGGATTCCGGAGTGGAGTGGAGTCAATTACTTTGTTTGACAAGTTCTTGCGCAACAGTCGCCTTTGACGAATGCATGTCGACACTTGCCAATCTTCGTCGAATTTCACAACTGCAGACTCCGAGGGTTTGCTACTCTCTCTGCGTCTGATGGCTTCTGGCATTGAGTGGCAGGTTCGATGCAGTTCAATCCCGTTGTGTCATGCTGCCTTAGAAAAGTATCAGCCAACTTCTGCACAGGAGGTCCCGACAATCCATCTGAAGCTATCTTGATTAGCGGTCCCCCTCTATGTCGCCAGGCGTCACCAATGCTTGGAGGTGTGGCTGCTCTTCTTCCAGCAGGTAGTCTGCATCCGTCTGCACAAGGGAATGACGTCACTGCAGAGCACAGTTGGTTCAGCACGCTCGCGCTTCAACTGCATGCGTGTGAATCCCCTATGCATTTCGGCATCCTTACATGGGTCGAACCTCGTTGCCGTAGCCACCATCCCAAATCGGCTCGATGCGGGCTTGTTTGCCTGGTGGGAGCACCAGCATAAACCACACGCACACACACACACACACACTGACTGACTGTGATGCGGATTTGCAAGGGAACTCATGTGCGCCCATTCCTCCACCCCTGACCGGTCATTTGCGCGCCTTCACCGAAAGCCGAGCCGCCAAAACGCCTGGGCCTGCGTACTCCTGCGCCGTGCGAAACTCCTGGGGCTTGGTTCCACGAGCACGAGCTGTTTCCACGATGCAAAACATCTTTAGGTTGTGATGAACCGATGAACCAAAGCCTGCCTACACAGCTGCAGACAACAGCCCAGGAAAATGAACACCCCAGCAGCCCTTAGGAAGGCAAGTGAGAGTAGCATGGAACCTTCCAGGGCAAGAAGTCAATCGCTCGGCATCTTAACATTGGGTCATTGGGGAAGACATCAAAACCGTGCTGGCCCATCCCTAAGGTGACCTTCACGGGATGCACATATCAGAGTTCAGACTGCCTGCATTCATTCAAACACGGTGTATGGCATGATTGTTTCGCAGACGAAGATCGGGCATCGGCGAGGGAGAACATCCACGAGAAACAGCAGCAAGCCGATGATGGCATGGCTTCGCGGCGAAAGTCCGAAAGACGTCGCCGATCTAGAAAAGAAGCACCATCTCGTGACACACTCAAGTCTGATGGGTTTCTGACACCATGTCATGCCTGATCATTATAGCCATAAAAGCCCCATTTGGACTGCCAGTATGCACTATAGTAGTCACTAAAAAGGAGCCTCGCACCTGCAGTACGACTCTTGGAGCTTGGGGCTGCAGAAGGCCTTCAGAGCCTTTGACTTGGGACAAAGTAGGCCGCCTAGGCCCAAGCCTGCTCAGGACCTTTCTAGTCTGGAGCCCTTCACCCCTGGGGTGTCCTCATCGTAAGGTGATCGCACTGCTTCACAATCCAGGCTACGGCTACAGCACCCACAGTTGCTCACCCCTGCGCGTTTCCCCAAGAACAACGACAAGAACAAGAACAAGAACAAGAACAAGAACAAGACAAGAAGAACAAGGACAAGAAGCAAAACATAATCTGAATCCAGTTACCGTCTGAAGGAGCTTGTCAACATTCAGGTTTGCATCAGGGCCCTGTCACACAATCTTAATATCAAACTAAAATCAATAGTTCCCCAATGTCCACAAAGCTCAGTCTTCGGTGCCCGGCAAGCGATGCGGGTCCATCTTCACCGCCAGAGAAAGCCTGCGCCCGGAAGGGCGACCAGTTCTGAGCGCTCCTTGTAAAACGCCTCTGTCCTAACCAATGTAGGAACCTGATTAAGAAGCACTGGCCCTATAACCCCAATATATTGGGTTCATATTAAGAAC